AATTTGCGGCTTGGATTATTTTTCAATAAAAATTTCCCCCGACAAGATTTTAAATCTTTAGGCCGGCCCCTAATAGTTTTTACAAAAAAATTTTTTTAGGTCCTGTCTAAGTTTATTTTTGTAAGAAAAAATTACAGCCTTGCCCGGATGTAAAAATTTTTTTTTATGACTCTGATTTATAAAAAAAATTTTAACCTTCATTTAAAAGAATCTTTGGTTTCTTGAAAAAAATATACCTATTCGGCATTTTAACGGTTCGTTTTTTAGCAAATATGAAATAATATCTAATAACTTTTAAATTTATCTTCTTTATTTTAAATGATAGATGAAGATAATATTTCATTTAATACAAAAAAATTTAATAAAATATTTAGCTATTGATAGACTTGTGCGCTAACTATTGTTGGCCGTCTCCGATATTTTTTATCAAATCTACGCGTCGCCGATATTCATAACAACATCCCATAGGTGACGCATAAATTTTTAAGAATAATTTCCACATTTTATACATTATTATTCAATGATTGGATAACATTGCTACTATAATTGTATGATGCCATTAAAGCGAATGCCTAATTACAATTCATATAACATCGGATATGCTAGATCTTAATAACACTGATCCAAACCCTGAATAGCCGTTTTCAAATCGGCGATTCCTATAATGATAATTACAATAGTGACACTGAATTTAGAACATTAAAATTAAATTTCTCAACCGACGATATAGAATGTATTAATTATACTCGGAAGCATATCAGGGGTTAATATAAATCTAATTAATAATGTTTTGAAAAGAACTGGAAAGCATTATCTCAAACTATGAATCGTATCTCTTAGAGGAACTGTTAATTTTTCTTTCGAAATTTTAAGAAACAGTTGAATTTCTATTGGTAAGAGGAGATCATTATTTTCATTATACTTTATTTTAAGCTCATTTATCAAATTTATTGTATAACAAAAGATGACAAACTTACATTTAAAAAATTGAACAAAAATCGTTGTTATATTAAAAATTTATTTTTTTAATTTTTAAATGGAATTCTTAAAAATTATCTGCTGTATATCATTAGCAATCTAATTTTTAAATAGTTTAAAATTTGCAAATGTGGGTATATCATTAAATTATTTTTTTGCCATCCCCTTCCTTTATACTCTGGCATGTTTTCCATTTAAAAATTTCCTAGGATAATTCCATGACAAATAGATCGGTGATTAGTACGACCATTTTAAAAATGGATGATTGGTATGAAGGTTAAATAGATGGTATATTTTGTATGGTACTTCCAAAAAAAACTTAATTTAAATTTAATGTTGATTACCTTAACATCTATCATCACAAAGTGAACCTATATTGAATTAATAGTAGACGATAATTATAGTTCAAAAAATTGTTTCACTTAAGAAAAATGTGTTCAAAAAACTTGCTTTACGATCTCCTGTTTGCGATCTTCAAGTAATAGGTACCTTAATTTATTTAATTTACTCTTTATTTCTAAAATTATCTAAATGTTGACTTCTCTTCTATGTCCAAGATTTAAAAAATTCTGACAAAATATCAGAGCAAAATTGCACGTAGTCGGAATTTATTATTAAACATCTAGAATTTATAGAGTATGATGATAGGAAATCAATAGGAAATTATACAAATTATTTGACAAGGTTAGCAAATAAACATTCTACATTAAGCACAAATTAAGAGAAAGGATATGGATGTTCTAAATCTGGAGAGGAAAAAGGAGCGAACTTTCAATCTTTCCATGCTAGCCAAAGTAAATTCCTTGTATTCCGTCATCTAACACATCTAGTGAAGGGTCTTCTGAACTGCTTGTTTGATTTTAAATTCAAGGAGATCATCTTTGTGTCCGGCTATTAAATAAAATTAGTTTTATACATGATAACTAAAATTGTACAATTGAGTTTGAATTGATAATTAGTTTTCTTTTCAATAAAGATTAAAAAATGCACAGATTTATTTTTAATTTAAAATTAGGTAATTTAAAAAATATATTTATTATAAAAATTTATGTCGGTATGCTGATTTACGCCATATATGTTGACGGCGGCTATAAAACGGCACGCCACGGACTGCCGATTAGATATTTAGAACTCGCACCGACCACCGATTGTTTCGTCGGCGCACAGGTCTAGCTGTAGATATAATATTCACCTAAAAATAATCATTGTAAGTTGATATAAAATATTTTACCTTTATTTTATAAACTTGTTAAGTATTTTATAACGGTCTAAATGGTTTTGAAATAAAAATATGTAAAGTCAGATAATTCAGTGTTTAACCTACACCCGTTGTATTTATTTAAAATGGCAACTCTAAAATTTTTCACCACTAGTAGGTGATAAAATTTACAAGGTGTTACGTTTTAAATTGCTTTTTTATATTAGGAAAACTTAATATCATATTCAACCGTTCTCTTTCATCCTCCAAGATGATTCCATCAAAGAATGAACCAGCAGAAAAACAAATTTATAATTAAATATTTATTAGAAATCAACCCATTTTATCGACATAACTCTTTACTCAGGCTTGGCTCGACATTATTTGTCAGAATTATTAATTGGTATATGTATATATATATATATGGTGAATTCCTTGACAAATGAACATGAGTTTCAACCCGACTCCCTCAAATTTTTATAAAATTTTTACTAGAGTTTGCATATATGATAGCTAAGAAGAAATATTTTTAGCCTCCAACTCCAAACAACGATTGAGATAAGGACAACTAAAGGTCAAAAAATGGGGCATTTTGGACAAAATTTCTCCCTTTCATTTTATATATAGCCTAATGGTAGGCTTTGTTATATAATGTTAAATATTGTTAAAAAATTTTAAATGTCAAAACCCGGAAATAGTTATAAAATCAAATCGGTATTTTTTTTTCTCTCAAATTTTTTTATGAATAGCTACAGAGTTAATTAATGAATTTGCAAAATTTTAAATTGGGCCGAGCACAGGTAGAGGAGATAAGGCATTTTAATCATTAGTCAATTGTAAAAATTCGTAATATTGATAAATGCTTGGATTTTTTTAAAATATATAATACTTATTTTTTATTTTTATAGATAATAATAGCTTTTTGAAATATTCGGCTAGGCTTGGGTATTTCTAAAAAAAATTTTTTATGTCCGGGCCAGCCTGGGTTAAAATTTTTTTTAGGCCTTACCCGTGTATATTTAATAAATTAATACAAGGCCTTACCCGGGCTTAGGGCCGGGCCTGCAGGTCGGATTTAAAAAAAAGATTATAAGGTGTGGGGGGGGGGCTGTTGTAAGTAATTTATTTCGTTCCTAAAATTCGCACAATTTGGATAAACATATACGTTGTGAATGCCTAAGAATACTTCCTTGGATGATTAACCAGAATAAATCATTAACGATAAAATTTGCATTATTTAACATAAAAAATTAAGAAATATGTTATGAAAATTTTTTCAGTAGATAATCTAATAATGATGAATGTGAAATAATTAAGCAATTGAAAATAAATTTTAAACAACACATTCTCGTGATTAAAAAATTCAGATATTAACGGTTTTATAAAAATTCTTTGACCTTAAACACAAGAAGATATTTCGACTGAATTCATGGCAAGTGTAGCAAAGAAATTGGTCAAGGGTGTTTTATCCAATCCTAATATTATAAAGGCTGGAAGTGTTTTTCGAGACTATTTTATGGATATTATTTGAAAATTTTCTTAATTCCAAATAAAAGAGTCGTATGATGCCTGGTAAAAACCGTTTTATATCAATAAAGGTTAAAAGAGAAAATCAATTGAAAAAGAAAATTTTGTATCATTCTGAATTATATTCTAAATTTAAAGAAACTCATATTGATATAAAATTTTAGGATTTAAGACCAATTCTTTTTTTCTAAACTGGAATTAAAAAGAATGACATTTTTTCGTAATAGCCCATTTTATTACATTACCAAAAGGTTAGCATAAAGGGCTACCTTCAGTATTCATATGAGAATCAAATATTATACACATTAAACTCATTTAATTTTTATATTGCAAATATCACTGAAATTAATTACTCATATGTAAAAAATGATAAATGAAAAAATATGTTAAAAAGGTCAAACCCATTTCCGGAATACAGCTTTTATTCCACTTAGGGAAAATTAAATTAAAAATTATTTCATTTTGTTAAGATTATTGAATTTCCATTATATAAAAATTAAATTTTGTCTTTAATAAATAATAATCATAAATTGATTTGTATTTTTTAATTAATTTTATGAAGAGAATTTAATTTATCTAGCCAAAGTCCCCCTTACCCCTTAAAAAAAATTATAAAAATTCCACAGTAAACATAAAATATTTGATAACTTTTGACTTTTATTACAATTATTTATTAATATCAAATATTTATTAAGAATATTTACAATAGGTTAATGATTAAAATGATATTTGATAACTTTTGACTTTTATTACAATTATTTATTAATATCAAATATATATTAAGAATATTTACAATAGGTTAATGATTAAAATGCCATATCTCATACCCTTATGATCGGCCCAATTCGAAGCACATTTATTAATTCTTTAAAAAAAAATAACTATTTAATTTTATGACCATTTCTGGATTTATATTTCGGTTTTTGACATTTAACATTTTTTAACATATTATAACTTTGCTATTAAAAAATTTAAATGACGCTTTTAGCTCAATTATATATCCAAAGATATTTAAAATTAAAGGAGAGAATTCTTCCTAAAATGCCCCATTTTTTTTCTACCTTTAGAGACCCGTATTTCAGCCACTGTTTAGAGTTGGAGGTTAAAAAATTTTTTAAGTTAGAATATATGCAAACTCTAGTAAAAATTTTAGAAAAATTTGAAGATCGTGATTTTTTTGTTGATTTGTCATGGAATTCACCATATATTAAAAAAATGCCTATTAATTTTAGGGTTACCCATTAAAAATCTAACCTTGAGCTTTTCAATTTAATCGATCAAAAAATAAATTTTATAGACTCTGAATCGGAATTTGATGACTTGGATAAAAAGTTGGGACGAATACGTTTTCGGGGTTGAAAGATATGATGGAAATATCCGAGGTATTTGCTTAATCTGATTAAAATTAATTCTTAATAATTTATTTATATTTTATATCTCCTTTTATAATATTCGAAGTTTCTAAACACAAGAGTAACATGAAAAGAAAGGCAACACAAATGAATGAATATAAAAAAAGCAATAAGTGTCTCTTAACCCCGACCAATCAAAATCAAGCGGGATATCAGAATTATAATAAAAGCGAAGAAAAAATTGATTTTGTAAAATGACAAAATTTTTTATATTGATCTAGGGCGATGTCTTGGCTAAATATATAAAAGATCTGCACAACCCGATCAAAAAAAAATTAATATACCGGGCAATTATTTGATAAAAAATGATGGGCCCTCGTAAATCTCTGATAGGCCAGCCCTGGGATTAAGATTTTGAGATATTTTTTTAAATTTCAAGCTAATATTTTGATATAATTAAAATATGCTTATTTTTTATATTTTAAGAGCTGTATAACTAAAATGCTAAATCTTTGAATACCGTAAATTCCCCAAAAAATTAAAAATTTATTGATATGATCTAATTATAAATCTACAGTTCTTGGGCTGGACCGGGCTTTGCAGATCTCTAATACATGTATATAAATTTTTATTTATACATTTTCTTCTTTCGAAATAAGGGATTGGATGAAAAAGGCAAGCCAATACAGAAAGTTGGTAAAATCATTACACGAATTATATTTTAATTCAAATTTTATTTCTGGTGTGAATTTAAAGTTAATACTTGAGATGTCGATTTTGCTTAGTATATTTATACAAAGTATTTTATTTAGTCTAATATCCTTCCTTGATTAATATGTTCATCACTATTTAGGAAAATAATACTCTTTAACATTCAAGTTTCATATTAACTTAGAATTGTAGTGTTTTGCTCTTATAAGAATCGTTCCTTTTTTTAGGTTTCATATATCTTGCTATTAGATAACATTACAATTTTATCGTTGGTGAATAATTTAAAGATATCAACAGGAGATTTTCTTATCAAATATGAATAATCTAAACTGCCATTCATTATTACTATTGATATTTCTTTTATTTGATAACCTTTTCCTTTTTTGATTTGATCTTTTTACTTTTTTAATTGAACTTTTTCCTTTTTTTATCTGACATTTTCCTAATTTTTTTGAATAGGAAACCTTGTATATTCTAACTTCTAATCGTATTTGTTAGGTAACAAGAGCCTATTCTTACTTACTATTATCTAGTGTTGTAAACGAACGCGTTCAAAATGAACGCGTTCGTGAACGAAGTTCGTTTTTTTGAAAAAAGGTGATGAACGGCGTTCCTTTTTTTTGACGAACTTTGAACGTGAACGCGTTCCTTTTCTTTGATGAACGCGTTCCTTTTCTTTGATGAACGCGTTCAATTTTACGTTCGTTCAATTTTAAAAACACTTTTTATTTTTTATTTGAAAAATTAATATTAATCCGCATTTTTTAACAAAAAAGTCTTATATTTTTATTTATTTGAAAAATTAATATTTAATCCAATTTTTTAACAAAAAAGTCTTATATTTTTTAATCAGCTGTTTTTACTTTTTCCTTTTTCATATTGCAATTAACGTACCATAGTGCTACTGCTAGAGAAGATAAGATTAAAGTTTATTAATTTGAATATTTTATATTTTAATTTAATAGATTAGCATTTGCATGGATATAAATATTTCATCATCAGATTCTGAAAATCAAAATTCAATATTAGATGAATTAGAATTACCATGGCCCAAATATCAAAAATATTTCACTGTTTTAAAATCAATTCCGAGATATCCTTTTTTTTGACGAGGAAGAATAGGGCAGATTGGAGGATGATAACATAGCTCAATTTTTTGAAACAATGGATAAAACATTAAATGTTTTTAATAAATTCCCCCTTTTAAAAGAATTGTTTATCAAGTATAACACCGCAATCCCTTCATCTGCCCCTGTTGAGCGAGTTTTTAGTATAGCTAACGCTGTATTAACTGACAAGCGTTCATGCCTATCAGATGAAAATTTTGAAAAGCAATTATTATTAAAAATTAATAAGAAAATTTTTTTATAAATTTATTTTTTTATCGCTCTATTATATTGTATTTATAATTATATTATCAAAATAAAACTATTATTTTTTATCATGGCTAATATATTGTGTTGAAAAATATAAGGCATTTATTTATATTAAATTAAATTTAAAAAAAAATTTATCATAAAATTTTGAACGTATGAACGCGTTCATGAACTTGAACGCGTTCCTTTTTTTGAATTTGAACGTGAACGCGTTCGATTTTTTTAAAAATGTTTACAGCACTACTATTATCTGATTTCCAGTAGTGATATTTATATAATTTTTCAATAAATTATGATATATTTTATTTTCAATCAACCCTTTTAACTAGTCAAAATGTATATACTCTTGCTCAAAATTTTCTAGTAGAAGCACGTCAATTCTTAGATAGCGAGGGGTATTAAGCATTACAAATTTTTTCATGATTTTTTTTCACAACTATATCAAATGATATGTACTAAATACAATTAATATTTTTATCAATTAATTATGTTTATCTCTAAAATAAGGAAGGTTGTTTCTATAGTAAATGCAATATAATTCGAGCATTTTAACAACTGATCGAATTTATAAAAAAATCAAGAGGTTAATTTTACTATTCTTTTTAAATGTTATTTTTTTAAAAAAATAGATAGCTTTAATATGGGGACCGCCTGGACTAGGTAAAACTACTCTTGCTCAAATTATCACCAAACATTCCGGTTACGATGCTATTGAGGTCAACGCTAGGTAAATACCCCGATTTTTTGAATTTTTATATAAATGATTAAATTTATTGCTAAAAAAAGGATTCATACATATTTTAACCACTCGTTTTTACTTTCAGTTTAAAAAAAAATTGAAAATAGAATATTCATGTAAATATATTTAAAAATATTAATCATAATCATACGTAAGCCTGTAGATTTTGCTCATAGATGGCACAAAGGTTATTAACGAAATTAAGAGGCTTGGTAAAATATTGTAGCCGTTTTTTAAAAAATCGGCTCAAATTGACCAGTTTAACAAAACGCAAAATTATTTTGGGCCTTTGGAATCTTTCATGGATGCCGATCTCTAAAATTTTAACATTACACAGTTTTTCTTTTTAAATTTACCTAAAGCGATGAACGGAACGAGCATTCTTTTAGGGACGTCATTCAAAACGTGTTACAAACGCACTCTATCAAAAATATTTACCAGGATAAAGGTAATGACAGTTTGACTCATAAAAAACCTAAATGCCTTATTTTAGACGAAATTGACGGGGCTTCCAGTGTAAACAAGATAAAATTATTTTTTTTTTTACCTAATTGTCATTAGTGTAGTCTTATATTCGAATGTAGGTTGGGTTGATAAAGTTACTTATCAGGAATTATACTTATAAAATCGTAACATTTTTTTCGTATTTTGTTGGGTCTTATATTCAATTGTCCAGAAGATATTTGTGAAATAGTTATTCTTTAAAAATATAATGTGAGTACAGCTCCAAGAAGCCCTAATAAGTCCTTTAAACCTTTTATTGGTGATTCTATTATTAATTTACTAGTTTATTTTAATTATATGCGTTAAAAACATCCAACCAACCATTTCTATATTTAGTTAATTGTTTTCCGCCAATGAGTCAAATGTTTAAAAAAAAATTTTTAAATAAAACTTTTAGTCAGCGATTGACACTTTGATCGATTTGGTAAAATCATCTCAAGATTCTACTAGGAGTGACAAGAAAGGACGAAAAAATTTATCTTTGAATAGGCCTGTCATATGCTTGGCTAATGATATGTAAGTTTATATAAAAAAGTTATTATTTTTGCGAGACAAGAGAAATGGGAGGAAGAAGGAATAAAAGGACTAAATAAAGAAGATAATTGTTACAATTTTATTTTCATAATATAAATTTCCCAAAGATACACCCCCGCTCTTAAAGCGTTGAGGCAACATTCTTACATCATCAACGTTAAATCCATATCCAGTTTCAGACTCACCAATCGATTAAAAAAAGTTATTTTTTTTACAATATTTTATTTCTTATCAAAATTTCCTTTTATCTCAGATCAATAAATACTTAAATCAAACCTTCTATTTTTTTGAAGTGATTTTGTGATCATTTAAAAATTTCCTTTACATATAGTCAAGCGCCACATTTAATAGTCAAATAAAAAGGTCTTGTTTTGAACTAGATTTAAATCTGGTGTCTTAGACCACACTCTTTAGCTCTGTAATATCTAACATTTTCGTTTTATCATATTTAACCCCGATTGTTTATTTTAGATATGCCAGGAGGAGAAAATTGGCTTAGAAGGAGATAAAATATTACACACCTTGGCCTTACTTTTGGAAAACGATATTAGATCTTGTATTAATTGCTTACAGGTTAAATATTTTATTTCTTGTTCAGGAAATATTAAAATGGTGGCATCTTGATATGAATTTAATATAAAATAGAGTTCGAAGTGTTAAATAGAAATCAAGATAATTTCTGACCCTTTATACCCCTCCCCCTCCCCCATTATCTAAATTTCATAAATTCCAATGATTCAATACCATCTTTCAAGGTACGAGAGTTGAACAAACAAGATGAAAGAAATGATGTATCAAAAAATAACACCATTGGATCGACTCAAGCGATAACTACCTTTCTCCCATAGATCAACGATAATTATTGTTTATATAATAAAAAACAATTTAAAATCTTCTATCACTAAAATGATTGACGTTTTAATAATTAAATTAATATAAATATTACAAACTAGGACATGTCACCCCTTTATGGGCCAGTGACATTCCCTACAAAAATTTAATATATACAAATATCTTTAATGATTTATTGCTATGTACGTATATTACAACAATATTCTTTTATACTCGATGTTCCTGGTTCCTCATCTTCGCCATTGAGCATCAAATTTTCCATGCTTGAATCTGTTGATCTATGGTAGAAAGTTAGTCGTTATTTTCTTGATCCATCGTTTGAGTCGATCCCATGGTATTATTGTTTGATACAAGAGCAACATAATCAGCGTTTGGAAGAGGTTTTCAAGCGAATTCGTGATAAAGGTCTGAGGGCCTGTAAAGAAAAAAGTGTTCTTGAGGTAACAGAAGTTATCTACTTAGGACATCAAGTAAATGGAATGGAGGTGATACCTCTTGAGAAAAATTTAAAAAATATAACACATATGAATCCGCCAACCAATAAAGCGGAGTTGCAATCATTTTTGGGTATGATAAATTATTATCATCGTTTTGTGGAGAATTTTATAAAAGTGGCATCTCAATTGTATGATTTATTAAAAAAAGGTGTTCATTTTGAGTGGAAAATTACAACAAAAAGCTTTTGAAATTTTAAAAGAAAAAATTGGTGAGGAACCGATTTTAGTATGTTTTCAATGATTTATAAATCATATGAGCTGTTGATACATCTAACAAAGGTGTTGGAGGTGCATTATTACATTTAATTGATGGTGTGGAAAGACCCATCATATTTTTTTCGAGAGTTTTCCGAGAAGTGGAAACTAGATATTCTGTTATTGAACAAGAAGCCCTAGCGGTTATCTTTGGATTCAAATGTCGTGAGTATTTGATCGATAAAAGATTTATAATTTACACGGATCATAAGCCGTTAATCTATTTATTTAAGAAGTATAATCGGGAACTAAATACCGAAGTCCAAAAGAAAAGACCAAAAAAAATAACAAGATTATCCAAATTAAGATTATTAATAAAATTTATGATTAATTTTCAAAATATAAAAAGAAACATTTTTTTTAAAGATTTTACAAAAAATTTTTATTTTATTAATTTCTTCAAAAAAAAATTTATCTTTTCATTTTATAAATTATATATTCCCTTTACAAAATCGAATAATTATTGTTTATAAAAAACAATTAAAAATCTTCTATCACTAAAATGATTGAAATTTTAATAATTAAATTAATATAAATATTACAAACCAGGCTTACATTTTTTTCCCTCTTTTATAATTAAGGATAACATACTTTTCATTGGAGTGTAAATTAGACACTAGCCTGGAAGGAAAACCTGCTGAAAAATATTTATAAAAACTTATTTTTTAAAAAAAATAACAAACTTTTAAAATTAAATAATCGTAAAAAACGAATGCGTTTTTCAAAAAAAAGGAATGCATTTACTTTCAAAATTCATCTAAAATTAAATTAACACTGTTTACTATTTTTTTCACAAAAAACGAATTTTATATACTAATAATCACTTCGAACACATTCATTTACAACAGTAAATTATATATAAAAAATAAAATTTTTGTAAAATGCATATATTTTATTCTTTCTAAATAATGTATTTTTTAACTTTTGACTTGAAGTTTTATGGTTTAGATGTCATCTTATTTATATAAAAAAATTATTTCAACCCCCCCCCCCCCCACTCCCACCCATTTAAATACATTTATTGCTCTTACCTACTAATTACTTACATATTGTAGTTTATCACAGCTCATAAAAAGTCCCAAGGAGGTTCTGCAATTACTATAACTCTTGACGATGTTATGAACAGGATTTCTCCAGCCATGGATGATTTTGGCCTAGAACAAATAAGCTTAAATAATTGTTGGAGTTTCCTAAAGGATAAAACTTTTAACAATGACTACTTGCTGAAAACTGTATTCTTTTACGATGAAAAGGATGGACATAACAATAAACTAAGCGAGTAAATTAAAATCAAAAACTAGAAATAATATAAAAAAAATTCTTTTACATGATTTATTCATTTTTTTCCTATTTTATTATTATCGGATAGAAAAATGTTTATAAATATTAAATTATACTTATAATGTTGTGGATCAAAAAAAGAATTTTTTTAAACTTTCAATTAAGATAATGAAAAATAGAAATGAAAGAATTTTTAATTAAAGGAAAGGAAAAAAGTGGGAATTTTTAAGAAACAAAAACTCAAAAAAATATTTCATCACCTTTTATTTATTTTGTTTGAAGAGATCTGACCAAAATTTTGAAACTATCTTATAACACGCTTAGTATGGACAAAATGAGCGTGAACTTGTTCGAAAATTATTTGCGGTTGCCTTCCTTGACGAGCGATATATTTATGAAAAAGGTTTTATTTATATTTAGTTCTAGTTCAAAGGATTTTATATATATTATACCATTTAATATAATTGGATTTATTTTTTACAGAGATATTTGATATTTAATGGGGGAGGAAATAGTTTAATAAATACCTACGAATAATTGATTTTTAAATTTTCTATTAAACATAAGGTAACCATTAAACATATTTATTTTCTTTTCAGCTCACGGTTTACTTTTTTTATTCTTGTGAAATTCAATATTTTATGAAAACGTCTATAAACTTATTGAGAAATTTTTATTTTCTCTCAATAATTAAATAATATTATATCTAAAATTTTTAAATCTTATAAAATAAAATAAAACAGCTTTAAAAAATTATAAAAATTAATTTTAGATAACAAACGCCTTAGATTGGTTGACAAGTTTTCACGAAATTTTGCAAAAATTCGTTAATTCTTATCAAACATATTCGCTTTACGGTTATTTGAATTACCTGAACGTCATTTTCGCGATAAATTTCCGCTCACATAATATAGCCTATTCTGGCGCGCAATCATTCACGCAAATTTCGGCTTTTCCACAAAAAAACTTTCAGGTAGTGCTTTTATTAAAAATCATTTTTTATTTTAAAAATTTACATATAAATCTATATTAAAATACATGAAAAATATTTAAAAAAGAACAAATTTATTAAATTTAAAAAAAAAACATAAAAATTAAAAAGGAGAATGCTAAGTGAATGAATTGGGCCAATACTTTTTAAATTAAAAATAATTAGACCGAATTTTTGTGATATCAATATTTAGAGATATGTGTTTTTATTATGGATTTCGAAACCGTTTTGGAAAGATTCAATGCAGCTTCCCAGAGCATGATATAGCTACGATGGGGACAAAGTGGTTATTACCCATAAGGTAGGAATATATTTGTCATATTAATGACTCAACCCTGAAAAGTTGGTCATATATTTTAATAGAAGGGGCAAGGGGGCCTATGCAAATAAAATCCATGACCAAGGGCTTGGCTGATACAAAGGGGACTATAGTTTTGCAGTCAGGACGTTTTTTATCTATGCAGAATGTATGTTCAAGAATTCCCGGGAGATTTGCCTTACTGAGAAATCTAGCAATAAGTATGTTTATTTTGTTGTGTCGATTAATATTTGATATGAATTTACAATAGAGTGCATGGTGGCAAAATCAGTCTGTGACCTGATTACATTTGTTGCAAGTGTATTGGCAAAGTTCAGTACAGTGAATACTTGTATCTAAGATACAGTGTAATGTATATTAATAGTAAACGAGTTTTTCTTATTCTTTTATTTTGTAATGTAAAAAATCAAAAATCAGCCTTTATTATTCAGATTAATCTCAAAATATATAATATCTCTTCGGTTTTCTCTTCTACTTCAGTACTCTCTTCTAATTCGTATTCTTCAATTAATACATTTTCGGTTCTTTTCTTTAATTGATCCGTATGACGTATAATCGTATTACCCGTTATACTTACTTCATAACGTTGTGATCCGAGTATGCCTTTAATAATGGCTTCTTCCCATTTTTTTTCTTTAATTGTAAAGGCGCGACCAAACTTTGTCTGAAATTTTTGATTGTGGTATTCAAACTTCTCCTTTTTGTTTCCCCGTTCGAAAATTTTGAATAGTATGTTGCTGACCCTAGAAATGACTGTAATTGTTTCAAATTTGTTGGTTCTGGTGCATTTTTTACTGCCTCAGTATTTTTTTCGGTAGTTGTAATTTCGTTTTTTGAAATATTTTGTCCTAAGTATTCGACATTTTGTTTGAAAAATTTACATTTTTCTATTTTTAGCTTGATTCCATTTTCATCTAGACATTTTAGTACCTTTTTTAAATTTTTCGTGTTTCTCTCTATTTTTCCCGGTTATTATAATATCATCTAAATAACAAGCTACTCCTTCAAAACCTTTTAATAAATTCTCGATGGCTCGTTGAAATATTGCTGGAGAAGACGATATACCAAAGGGTACTCTTGTATATTTAAATAATCCTCTATGCGTATTGATTACAGGATATTTTTGAGACTCTTCCTCCACTTTAATTTGAAAATAGACATCTGAGAGATCCAATATTGAAAATTCCTCTCCTTTTCCCAAATTGGCTAATAAATCTTGGATTCTTGGTATTGGATATGAATCAATATTTATATTTTGATTTATAGTTTTTTTAAAATCCCTGCAAATTCTTAATGTTTTATTTTTCTTTTGAACAATTACTATGGGATGCATAAAGTGAATGATTGATTTTCTCTAGTACTCCTATTTTTTGCAATTTATCTAAATCTTCTTCAACTTTATCTTTTAATGTGTATGGTACGGGACGTGATTTACAGAAAATTGGTTTCTCGTTTTTCATATATATTTGTGCCTTATAATCTTTCAAGCAGCCTAATTCTTTGGTAAATAATTGAGGAAATTTATTTTGTATATTAATAATATTTATTTGTAGGGTCCTTTCAGTTAATTCAGTCATTTTGGGAAATTTAATTATCCAATTTCTTCCAATTAGATTTTTGGTATATCCTTTTGTAATTATGAGAGGTAGTTCTAATGTTCGCCCTTTATATTGTACTTTTACTACAGTTTGACCTAATAGTGGTATATTGGTTCCTGTATAACTTTTAAGTTTTAGCATGCAATTCGTTAATTCATGATGATTAAGTTTATTTTCCCAATCTATTTCGTTAATTATAGACTCCAGCTCCAGTATCCAATTCCATTCTTATATCGCTGTTGTTTATTTTGACATCCACCCAAAATTCTGGATTATATTCGTTTGTTTTATTATTAATAAAATTCACTATTTCTTTTCTACAGACTCGAGCAATGTGCCCAATTTTGTTGCATTTATAACAAGTGGCATTCTTGAAAAAACAATTTTCCCTTCTGTGGTTTCCGCCACAGGAGTGTCAGATTTGGTTTTTTGTAGCTCGCATTATAATTATTATCTGATTTTAATTGTTTATCATTATCATTAGTATTATATGATTTTGTTTGTTTATCATTATCATTATTAACTTTTTTAATTTTATTTATATTTTCATTATGTTTCTCTTCTAAATGATCGATTTTAGTTTCATCATTTTGTATTTTTTATTGCTGTTTCTACTGCAGTAGCTATCTGAATAGCTTTATTTATGTCTATATCGTCTTCGGATAGTAATCTTTGTAAAATTTTTGGATTTTTTATTCCGAATATAAATTTATCTCTTAATGCAGTATTTAAATATTCACCAAAATCACAAGTCGTTGCTAATTTTCTTAGATTTTGTATATAGTCTATTAGTTTTTCATCATTTTGTTGATTATATTGATAAAAATTATATCTCTCTACTATTATATTAGGTTTAGGATGGAAATGCTTCATTAAAATATTATGTATTTCTAATACCTCTTTATTTCCCGGACTATCAGGTGTACATAAATTTACCAGTATTTTGTACGTATCACACCCTATTGTTAATAACAGAGATTTTTCTTGTGATGATGTTAAATTTGGTTGTGTTTTTAAATTCTTGAAATAAGTTGTACCAATCTTTGTAACAGGTTTGAATCCGTTAGACTTTTTATAGACTGCGCCATTTATGTAATGTATTTTAATAGTAAACGAGTTTTTCTTATTCTTTTATTTTGTAATGTAAAAAATTAAAAATCAGCCTTTATTATTCAAATTAATCTCAAAATATATAATAATAATAGAAATAAACATTTTACAAAAAATAATAAAAAACAATTTAATACACATCCTACAGAATCCTTTGTATCTTGTACTCAGTATTTTTTTGACATTTTTAATAAGATACTAGTATCTGTATTTATTCAGAAAAGAATGATACAGATTCTTTTTAATATTCATGTTTAAAAAATTTACATATCACAGATTATAACCTTATTTTTTTCCACAACCAAAATTATTTGATTAAAATAGATAGATAAAAATTTACAACATCAAAACTAAATAAATAAAAAATATATTTTATATATAAATTAAATGTAACTCGAAATAATATAATTACCAATTTTATGTGATATTTTTTAATTTGTAGGATGATTAACACTCACGGTAGTGAAGAAGGTAGTGAAAGGAAAATTATGGGAATAAGTTCCCCTGAATCAAATCCCAATCTTAAAATTTTAGATGTAAATTTTTTTGGATAATTTAAATCAAAAAAGGTAATATAAGTTTAACCAAACCTGTACAAACAAAAAAATGATAAAGGGTTCATACAAATTTTGTTAAACTAGTATATTATTTATATGATAATTTTATGTTACAATATAATTATATATTATTATTTTTTTAAATTAGAGATACCATTTAGGCATTTATACCCAATATAAGTTGTATCTAAAAGAGTAAAGAAGAAAACCAGCAAATTACCACTATAAAAAAATAATTCAACCCGGTATATCAGCTTCATTAATGCCATTAATAAAATAAAACCAATAATTATACAAAATAAAATAGAGTAATGGGAAAATGTATAAAATTATGGGGCATAAGTGGAAGGTCCAAATTTTCTTAATGAAAAGGGAAATAACAGGGGTGGTAATCAGCTAAAATTTCCATGCATAATCAAATAGAATAGCCATACGATAGTATGACTTAACTGTTAAAATATAAATCGCATTTTAATTATTATTTGAAACAATTAATTGTCCGACAAACTAGAAGGGCAGAGTAGTATGGAATTAGTGCCCTTACTATTTTTGGTTAAAAGGGACTAATGTAAACTTAAAAATTTAAATTGCAATATTTTCTACCTTTATTAAAATTTGTCCAAAATAGTATGGGCAAAATTTGGGATTTTTTTTTCTTATGTTGATGAATATGATGAAACTTTTTGGCATTATTATCACATCTATATTTTAAGAACTTATGAATTGTCGAATGATAAAAAAATGCTTTTATATTATTAAAAGCAGTCCCAAATTAGTATCAGTAGTATATAATCTACTTCAAACTATACCACCAGGATTTAATATCTAATACAGAAAATGATGATCATTTTTCTTTTGGTGAGACAAATGTTGCTGAGTTCAATATAAATAACATTGAGCTGGAGTTTTAAATTATTTTAAAGACCGTCTAAATACATTAGAAATTCTTAATTATTATCCTTCCATTTAGAAATTTTTTTAAAAATATAATACTGCAATTAGTGATCTGCATCGGGCCTAATTTTTTAAGACCGGCCTGGCCCGAAATTTTTTTTAAAAAAGTTTTGCCGGCCTGGCCCTAACCCGAAATTTTTTAAAAAAAAATTACAGACCCGACCTGGCCCGAATTTATTTAAATTAGATATAATTACTCAAAATAAAAGACATATGTATATGTCGTTTAGTTTCAATATATAAAATCAAATATTTATATTTTACATAAAAAATTCAATATAAAATTGATAAATTTAGATATATTTAAAGAAGTTTCCAAGGTCCGACCCGACCCGGTCCGAATTTTTTTTAAAATATTAGGCCCGGCCCGAACCATTTTAGGGCCGGGCCTAACTTTGCAGATCTCTAACTGCAATGTCTTAATCAGCTCCAGTTGAAAGGTTATTTAGTTTTGGCACAATGTTAAATGCCCTGAAACGGCAAAGGCTTTAATAATAAATTATTTAAAAATTTAATATCTTAAAAAATAAGGATTTAATTTAATCTATTTTAAAAATTCTTTTGCAAAATTTCAACTCACCTTATAAATACTAGTCTCCCTTCCCTGACTATGCTATGAATGGGCTAAACTAATAATAATTTGCCGGATTATTATAATTAACTAATCATTATATATTCTATTAATTATTATAAATAATTCTTATTATATGCTTATGTTATGTTCTTAATCAATGTATTTTATATACTATTCTAAATTGGTAATGATAATTTTATAAAAGTATCTTGTATTTAAGATACCCTCATTTGGCAAGAGATACAAGTATCTTTTATCTTGTATCTTTTTGATATTTTGGATAAGATACTAATATCTAAGATCCATTTTTTTATGAAGAATCTGTATCTAGATTCTTTTAGGACCTGCCCAACTTTGTGCATTGGTTTAAAATGATATGTCCAGGCGCAAACTGATTGCACAAAAAGAGACGTCATTTATAAGTTTATTTTTTTTAAGATCTGGGGTAGGAATCAAGCCATCCATGGCTGGAGTTGTTAAAATTAAGTGTCCTGAGGAGGGATTTGTATTGGTGATCATCGCTCAAGTTGAGGTAAGCCAAGGAACGAGATACCAATCCTAGATATTAGTCTTTTTTGTTGAGGTATATTTGGTAAGGCATTGATGTTTCAGCAATGTAATGCTTCCATCATACTATTATTATCAATTGAAATGATTTGGGAAATGATATGTTTTACGGATTTTGTAAAAGATATGAAAGAAACAAGGGCAATAGTTATCACAGATCTCAGTCCGAAGCCTCCCGATTTGCAAGGAAGAGTTGTCTCAAGCTGGAAATTAAAATCAACTTAATATTTGCATCATTCTTAAAATGTTTTGTTCATATTTAAAAGCGATTCTAACGCGGAAGCACCTGAGATTTTTAAACAATATTGAATTTGCTAAATTAAAGGGGCATTTTTGAGGATTAAATGGTAATTTATTTAAAACTAGTAGTTTGAGGAATAATGACAGTAAGTAATTATTTAAAAATTTGAAATCTGAACCTCCTAACAGGGCTCCTAATATAATGAAATCTTGTAAGGATGTTTGTCGTATTAGGATAAATTGATTAGATCAAAATGTTTATTAATTATATCAAGGCATTGCTGAATTAATGAAATGTCCCGAAATCGTACAATCGTCTGGATACCAAACGTGCAGATTGAGTTTGCATAAAAGAGCAATGCCACCAATAAGGTGCTTAAGTGTATAACAAAAAATCAAGTGTCCTAATGGATTCTACTGAAGGTTCCTCACCGATTTAATAATGATCGTTGAACCCAAGTAAAGAAGGGATGCCGTAGCTGAGATGGATATGATTATGATAATCAGGGAAAGTTTTTAAGAAGATATCGATCACATTATTCCTATTAAATGAATTATAAATATGTCAAGTTTTACAATAAATTCTGATTTGAGGTTGGACAAAACTAATCAACCACAGTGAATTGTATCTTTGCAGCTACCTTTCACTCTAAACCCAACTTGATAAGGGGCTAGATTGAAGATATGATTTAAGGCCATTACAAATAATTTTTGAAATGACTCCACGGTAGATAATTCTAATAGCTTTTTCGACCTTTGGTTTTCAGATTTTTCATTAATCGATCAAAGATTAATGGGGCAAGATTATATAGCAATTTTCATTGATATTTAAATTAAAATTTTTTGATAATGAATTGAGTAAGAATTCAGAAGTGTCTAAATCTAAGAGGTAGGTAACAAATGATGGACGGAAGTAACCAAGGCCTGGAACTGAATCTCTTGGGAAAGATTTGGCAGCTATTAAGACTTATCCTGAAGATATATAAACTTGCATTTATTATGGGCAGTATCTGGAGGGGGCGGATAATTTGGGTTTAGATGTTTTTCTAAAAGTTGGTTTCTTATGCTTTGTCATTTGCCAAAGAGTTTTCATTTTCAAGAGCTCGGATGGCTCCTTTGAGATTGAAATTATTGATCTTATTATATATTAGTTTATGTGAGGGGTTACTTGAAGATTTATTGGTAGTATCGATGATGTGGGGTGATTTCAAAATTAATGTCAAAGCTTTCAATCCTTTTCTTAATTGTCTGGTAGGTGTGAATTACCCTTTGGCGGGTTTGACAATACTAAATTTGGGAAAAATCACAATATTTCCCATTTCGATCTTCTGGATTTTATATAATTTTGTTAAGGGATTGATGTAGACATGGTAAATTAGTTTGAGAGCAGCTTTTGGAATTTGTGAAATAGTAGGTGTAAAATTGAATGTTAAAAATTTGGGATAATCTAAGTTAGTAGTTGGAATATGAGGTAATACTCTGGGTCCACTTGTTGGGCATCAAATAACTGGTTGTCATTGGATTTGAAATCAATGGTGGTAAAAGAAGGGCTTGGTGTAATGTAAAGATATATTCATCAATCTGATTTTGATAATCTTTGTTTTATTCTTTTTTCCATTTACATCACGCCTTCTTTCACTTGTTATTTTATTGTTTCTTTAAATTATATTATAATAATTTTTTTGTTGTATTTTTTCATTTATTTAATTTTCACAACTCATGCAAATTATTTTTATGGATTCAGCCTGAAGTTCGCAATTTAAAAGCTTACAATTGTTTTACTTGCCGGGATAATCACACTTAGTTTTATTTTGCAGATAAAATTTCTTGTTGTCATAAATCATAATGATAGGAATGAAAAGAGGATAGATAAAAAAAAAATTTTTAAGACAAAAGTATTCTTAATTATACGTTTCTTTTTTAGGCATCTCAAAGAACTTATAAAATGGTCAACTTGATTAAATCATTCCTAAAACATTGTTCTACCAAAGTCAAGTTTCATCTCGATTTCGATAACGCATGTTTAGATATTACTCCTGCCTTGTTAGACATAATTACTCCTAATTTGAGACAGGTAAATAGTTAATGTTTTTTATGATGATGCCAAGAAGGAAGTGTTGTATATTGTAATTGCAATAAAACATATTATTTTTTTGTAAATCTGGACTCGAATTTGTATTAATTAAAAACTAGTATAAGAATTCTCTATATTCAAAAGGATTTCACGATTTCATATATATTTAAATAAAAATATAAGGTTAATCTTTAAATTATTTATATCTTAATACATGACAGGAAGGAAAGAAAAGAGAGAGAGAGTATTAGTGTGCACAAATTGAGCATTTTAGACATAAATAAAGTATTTCAAATGATACCATGCTAATTAGCGTTTGGCGTTAGAAAACATTTATTATTTCCTTCTAGCTCGACTAACTTAGTTACGAATTTCATAATAATGTTATTAAGTATAAGTGTCCAAGTTGCATATCTAAAATTAGGTACTCATTTTCGGAATCATATGTTATTCGTATTTTAAAGAATACATCGAGTTTATCGATGCAAAAATTATCATGAAGCCCAAAAAAATGCACTATATTAATATGATATGCTCAAAATATAATTTAACAGGCTAAAATTATCATTTTTATGAATTATATTATATTTTAAGAATAAATACATTTATTCTAAGTATAAATATTAAGGTAAATTTGTCCACATACGACAATATTACCCAAGCACCAAATTTTAAAAATCAGGATTCTCAGGAAAATGTTTTAGTCATCAATATTTTAAATGATACTACAAATGAGAATGATAATCTCCACCCCCACCATTAAGCCAATCAATAAGAACAACATGGATGTATAAATATGTATATTTTTTATGTAGTATTTTGTAATTTTTATAAAATTTTATCACAGATATATTTTTAATTCAAAACTTTTACGTTATTTACTCATAAACAACAATTTGTATTTCCTATTTATATAAACATATTAATTTTTATTATGGCAAAATAAACTTTTGAACATTTCAAATTAATTTATTCATAATATTAAATAATTTTTCACTATATTACGATTAGGATCAGATTTTTTTTACTATGTAAAATATTGAAATAGATAGAAAATAAGCTCAAGTAATTAAATTGTTTTTCTCTAACAATTGATGATTACTAGTGCAATTTGGTTATTTAATTTAAATTGCTAATCTAAGTCTATCTCTATTTAATAATTTGATTAATGTGATATGTAAAATCATATTTAAATATTGATTTAAATCAGTGAGTTTTTAAAAAAATCTTGGTGATTTAAATCAATTCATTTTTATTGGCTTCTACAAAACCCAAACGCTCAATTTGTGCTCACTTAAGGTTGTACCGATATTTTTGCCATTATTAAAAGGGCCTGATTATAAATGTAAATTAGTGTGTATTGGCACAAGATAGATATATAATTTTTAATGCATAGCCAATTTTTGTTAAATGAGTTATCATAAAAATATTTTAAGAAGGGGTTAGTAGCGGCAAATAATCCGCCTATATTTAGGATTGGTTCTGGACTTATTTTTGCCGATCCGATTTTGGACCAACCGATTCTAATACTTCCTTAAAATAATTTATGAATATTGTAATGAAATGTAGTATTTAAGGTAATTTTTTTCTATTTCCAACACGATCTTAATTTTCATGATTTTTTATATTTATAATTAGCTTATGATTAACTTAATTAATGTCTAAAATATCAAAAGCTAAATATAAAAATTTTAGTGAGATATAAAAGTTATAAAATGGGGGGAGGGGAAGCTATGGCTCACCCTCACCACTCCCGTTCCCTACCTTACCATTGTAGGTTTAATTTAAATTAATTATATAAAATTATTACATTTTTTTCATAATAATTTTTAATGACTTAAAATAAGGTCAATTTCCAGCTTTATAACCTCAACGAAAAGAAGATTATGAATGAATTGTGCCAAATAATGGTACAATACGATTTGAATTACAGGCAAGACAGAATTTTTAATAGAATGGGGCATAAAGCAGGATTGCAAGATGATGATGAAAATCAAATGGTCGCTTACAGCTATGATTATGTGCTTGATCCGTTAGTAAATTATGCACACATTTAAGTTTATGTAATATTTTAATAAGGAGCGAAATATAGAAAAAATATGAGTATAGACAGGAGAGAAGAAAATAATAATAAAAATTACAAAATTTAATAAAGATTTCTTTTACCATATCTATCAGGAATATCAAAGAAATAGCTTATTTTGAAGGATACACCTCTGTCACTGGAGCTAATAATAATGGCATTGTATCACAAGTATCGCATTGTGTGAAGACTAATCTCTCTTACGGTACCAAACAAATCGTCCAACAACAAGTTTATTAATTTTTATAATCCTTACAATTTTTGGAGTAGGCAATCAAATGTAATTGTTAAACTTTTTATCATTATTTGGTAAATTCATATCTCACAATTCATAATATTTAAAAATTAATTTTAAATTTACACCTAAAATGGAAGTATTATTTTGGTTTAAGATGAATGGTCTATATTAAAGCCCTATATCAGACAGTTTTTAAGTTCATACCTGATCCAATAAAAATTGTCCGACGTTATCAATCGGAGTATTTATCTTCAAGTTCCTAAATTTTAGATTCGAGATAGGTAATTTTTTTTATTGGACTGTTGGAAAATACCATATTTCAACAAAGGCAGAAAAATTTTAAACGTTGAAGGGAAATAAAGAGTAATTTATATTATTCTTGAAAATGAATATTTATAAAAAAATGTCAAGATAACAAAATATTAAAATTTCGTTCAGGTCCAAGTTTGGTCCAGTCCAAATTAAATTTTAAACCCAAGGTCGAAATCCGACCATTGAGAGCAGGGCTTTAGCACATATGTGCTTTACAAGAAAATCTTTACATTCTTCGCATGACTTAAAATTCTTAAAGATTTTATATTTATAGTACTTGAAATATTTTATCATCAAGATAAACATAACTAAATTGAAAATGTTGGAGAATAAATACTCATCTAATAATCTTAACCAGACTGACACAAAATTCAATGAAGAAAAAAGGCCTAATTCTGAGATTATGAAGTTTGGATAAAAAAATTCTTTATTAAATTTTCTATTTTATACCAAAAGCATTTGAATCACTTATAATAATATTGATTTATTTTTAAATTTTTTATGATAAATGTTTAAAAGGTCTTTTTGCAAAAATTCTCACACTCCAAATATTGAAGATATTAAAGCGTCTACTGACATTATTACGAGGATTCGTAATAAAAAAGACAAGCAAACCAAGAAACGTTTGGTATGAGACACCATTTATTATATACTATTAAATTTTGAATATACTTGTAAAACTATAAGCCGATTTTTATAAAAAATTATATTTTAGAAAAATTTTGTGAGATTCCTTTAGTACCCTTCAACATTTTTAAAAGGTGTAAAGATAAACGACCAATAAAATGAACAGAAAAAAAGCTTTTGGGAAAAACTCAACTGACAAAATTGCGGAAAATATAAAGGAGGAAAAGCAGCGGAAAGAAAATTTCCATAATAAAAAAAATACTGAAAATATCTATAGGAATATAAGTCTTTGGAAAATAAATTTGTATATCTTGAAAATCTTTTCTACGCGTTGTTAAAAATATTAAATTATTTAATCCCCGCCCCACTCCTTATCTCTCAAGTGTTTTTTATCGCACTTCTTATTATATTTTCTTTTTTAAATAGATTCGATTGAAATGACACCCTATTTAATCATAACTCCGTCAGTTTTTCCTATTTTTTTACGAAATTTTACAGAGTGATAAATTAACTCATTCTTAACAATTTTTCAAAGTTTTGTGAATTTTTGTTTTAGAATATATATAACCTTATATAAAAATTAAAAAACAAAACAATTACCTATTTATTAAAGTTTAGATTTAATATAAAAAATAATGAACTTTATTACAAAAAATCACATCAAAGTATTCTCAAAGTGGCCTCATCGTGCGAAAACGATTTCTCCATTTTCGTATAGCACTGTTTATGATTGCAAGTAGTGATCTGCATCGGGTCTAATTTTTCAAGCCCATCCCCAACCCGAATTTTTTTTCAAAAAGTTTTGCCGGCCCGAACCTAAATTTTTTTTAAAAATATTTTACCGGCCCGTTACGGCCCCAATTTATTTAAATATAAAAATTAAATCTTTTAAAATATTATAATTACTCAAAATAAAAGATATATGTCATATGGCGTCTAGTTTCTATTAGTGTTGTAACGAAGTTCGTCTTTTTGGAAAAAATGGTGAACGGCGTTCCTTTTATTTTTGACGCACTTTGAACATGAACGCGTTCCTTTTTAACGCGTGCGAATTTAACGTTCGTTCAATTTTAAAAACACCTTTTATTTTTATTTATATGAAAAATTTAATATTAATCCAAATTTTTAAGAAAAATGTCTTATATTTTATAATCAACTGTTTTTCCTTTTCACATTTCAGTTTTTTTAACACACCATTATTATAGTTAATTAATTTGAATATTATTGTTTATATTTTAATTTTCGATTTTTATAAGCATGGGATTATTATTTCATTATCTGATTCTGAAAATTCAAAATTAGATGAATTAACCTTATCATGGCCCAAATATGATAAATATTTTACAGTAACATCCTATATTGAAGGAACTAATTCAATACTAACCAAATGTAAAATGTGCCCAAAAAGTATTATATAGTTTCAAAATCTTCAAGTTCCAATTTAAAACGACATTTGATTGTAATATTAATTATTTTATATAATATAAGTAAATTATTAAATTAAAAAAAAATGCATTTAGGTTATTTGACCCCAACTATAACGATATAGTTATTTTAAAATTTAAAAAAATTAGTGGCCTAAATTATGGTCAACTATTGATAGACGCTTAAGTGGGATTAATAAAAATATTAAACCTATTACTATCAAATTAATTGCATATATTGTATTTTTTTTAAAGATTTGAACATATATACGAAAAACAATATGTTCTTTCTGCAACATACATCCAATATTCAAGCTTCAATGACCATAGATAAAACTTCCTCAGAACGAACATATAAAAAATAAACTTATAGCGTTATTGATGAAAAAATGCATTGACAACCCTAGAAATGATAATGCAATTAATTTCGAGTAAGTAAAAGATGGATTGGAGGAGGATAACTTATCTCAATTTTTTGAAGCAAGGACAAAGTAATAAATGTTTTCCCACGTTAAAAGAGTTGTTTATTAAGTATAATACTGCAATCCTCTCATCTGCCCATGTAGAGTGCGTTTTTAGTATAGCTAGGTGTCGTATTAACTGCTAAGTGTTTGCCTATCAGATGAAAATTTTGAAAAACAATTGTTATTAAAATTTTATAAGAAAAATTTTTTATAAATAAAAATATCTTTTTATTCACTTTATTATATTATATTTATAATTATATTATCAAAATAAAACTATTATTTTTTAACATGGCTAATATATTGTGTTAAAATAATTTAATTAAATATAAAAAAAAATTTATCATAAAATTTTGAACGAACGTAACGCGTTCCTTTTTTGAAAGTGAATGCGTTCGATTTTTGTCTATAAACGTTGAACGCGAACGCGTTCGTTTTTTTAGAAATGTTTACAGCTTCTATAAATAAAATCACATATTTCTATTTTAAATAAAAAATTCAACATAAAATTGATAAATTTAGATATATTTAAAAAAATTCTAAGGCCCAACCAGACCCGGCCCGAATTTTTTAAAAAATATTTGGCCCGATCTAACCGAAGCCCTTAGGACGGGTACGGGCCGGGCCTACTTTTACAGATCCTTAATAGCAAGATCGAAAATTTTCCATTCCGGTTTTGCCTTAAGGTGGTTAGTATCAATAATTGTGGTATGGTACACACGTTCCTCCAGAATACCCTAAATAACATAATTCACTGTTGAAGTCAGAGCTGTTTGGAGGCCATGACGATGGACGAATCAAGTCCGATGTCTCGTGTTCTAGCAAATTATGGGTTTAAGGGTGCTTAATCCAGCTGAAATATCTCGTAAGACAATTTTTTTAATGTGGGCGATAAATAAGATATCTCAGTTACAAGATCAGTTTATCTTAACACCTAGATCAATACAAAAATTTGAGTGCTACTAAAATATGAAACACAAATCGAAATCGTGACAGATTTTGAAAAGCTTGAATGCCACTTGAGTACTCGAGTAGCACTGACTTCTCTTTCTTGTGGCAGATGTAACATAAACCTATCATTCTACAAATGAAAGGGTGAAGTCGCAGTAAATAGCTTTTCATTGGCAAACTAAATAAAATGAATCAACCCTGGATTGAATTTACCCAAAATTTTATTAGCAGAAATCAAACGAGCAAATTTATTCGCAGTTGTAAGATAGACATTTTTCCTTATAAACATTTTAGCCGCTAATGTTTACTAATAATTTGATTCACTGAAGCTTGTGATAACCAATTTCTAGACATTTGAAAAATCGTCTTGTGAGTACCCGGTTGGTCTTCATACTCGTTACAAGGGTATCAACAAATTTAATATTTGTTCTAGTTTTAGCACTTCCCGTCATACCCTTTCTCTGCTGATCACATGGTATCAATTTTGCTAATGAGCCGATTGAGTCGTGGAAGAGACCAATTTTTATTTGGGAATTCCTGAAATAATTGTTTAGCACCATAATGTAGTGTCTTAGAGTTTAAACTTAAATAATCTTTATCAAATACCATTTTTTTTGGTATCTAAATAATTAGTTTTTTAAATTATTTTTAAATAAAGTTGCATGTTTTCTTAACCTATTAAGAAAAATTTATAAAACTTTGCACCATTTTTAAAAACGAGTTATTTTATCATTTTGTAAAATTTGACGAAAAATCTTAAATACTGATGGGAAAAAAGGTGTCACTTAAATCGGACCACCCTGTAGATTTATTTTCCAAAGACATTTCTTACAGATATTTTTCTTCACATTTTGTCTACGCAGCCTTTTTTCCGTTGAGATTTTTTTCCATTACCAAGAAATATAGTAATTAATTTATAATTCTCTTATAAAGGGGGAAGGGGGTTAGTCTTTATTTATTTAAGTAATATCTCAATTTTTCATATTAATAAGATCCTGAATTTAGTTTAAAAATTTACTCCATTTGTAATCTTTAAATTTTTTTAAATCATACAATAAAACCAATTTAATCTATTTTAATATTTTGGCGGCTTATCTTATAAAGTTATTTAAAGTGCGTGTACGATTTGTTGTAATATATTTCAACAATGGACAAAATAGTATAAAATTATTTTCCATTCAACAATTATTGTATAAATATGTTGAGATCTCATGCTTTTGTCCATTGTTGAAATGTTTTACAACAAATCACCCTCAGTATTCCATTTCTTTTACTTTCCTCTATCCTCTACATCTCACTAAATATGAGATTTTCAATTGTATATATTATGATAATTTTTATTTCTTCAAGAATACCTTTGACAATTTTTTCACTAAAATTGGTAAGAAAGCTAAAGAAAATTGCCAATCGAAAAATGTGGATACTTTATTAAACAAAAAAGGTATATTAATATTTTATCCATACCGTGTGTGTTAACTGAGATATCTAATATTTTTCTTTTTCCGGCTAAAATTTTTTTTAATACAGAGGTTATGTGTTTGCGCATTGCATTACTGTGAAATATTGAATGTATATGTATTACCGCTTACTGAGTACCGCAAAAATATTTGAATGCATCGCAAACTAAGACAGGATGTGGGTTAGGGTTAGAATAATAATAATTAATAATGTTTTTCGTTTCCTAAATTACGGAATAAGGCCTTTGCTTATTACGGTAATATAAGTTAGATATTGGGTACAGTGCTCCCATTCTCCCTGAACTAATGGCGCGGAGACCCCCTACTATGAGTAGGCACCCCCTCTTAAAAATAGGCTAACGTTTAAATATTTTAAATGGCAGTGTTTTTTAATCTACTTTCGACTCAGTTTTAACCTTTTGTTTATGCATCGATGGGATGGTAAATATTAAGATACTTATATTAAATCAATAAATTCAGAAAGTGAGATGAATTATACAGTAAACGGTTAGGTAAAATAAAAGAATAGTTAGTCCAATACAGTATTGTCTTCACATTTATTTCCACTAGAAGCTAAATAATATATAAATATCATTGTAATAGATTTAGAATTCTCATCTCATCATATGGCTGAACATAAAACATCACCAATGAAAATGATAATATTGGATTAGAGTTTAACTTATTAAAGGAACAAAACTTTTCATATTTTTTATACATATCTTTTCATTTAACCTTTTTGTAATAAAATAAAAAATCTGCTTGGTTCACATAACTAAAACTTTCCACTCACTCCATAACCACTAGATTGAATGCAAAATAAAAAAAATTCCGTTTTAATAAAATTAAATCTTAATAAATATTATCGCTGGGAATTGGTTTGCAGAAATCCTTGATACTAATATTTTCTAGGGCTATGCCTATATTAAATATTTGCGGCCCCGATATTTAGCTTTTATAAAAAGATACGGGACAACATTTTTTAAAAAACCTATCCGATCCGATATTTTTTTGGTTTTAGGTTATTAATAATAAATTATGAAAGTAACAAAAATAAATTTTTTTGTAGTATTGTTTAAAAAGGTAGTTAAAAATGTTGTACTACTCTTTGTTATATTATCCGCAACAAGTAAAGGATTTTAAAATATCTAACGAGTCGCATTCAGAGTGTTAAATAGCTCGATTTGCCTTTTTAAAAATAATTAACTCAAGAATTTGGCCAAAAGTAAAACACCCAAGTTTATTGATTTTGTCCATAGATAAAAGAAAGGTTTGAACTTCTATTGGCGAACTTAGAGGCTTAGGTAATGATATATTGGCAAAATCTTGATTTGGCCCTTTTTAAAAATCGCTAAATGGAGCTGTTTAACATCATTACATTGACTCATAAACATTGCAAATATTAACTTCTGAAGATTAAAAAACATAATTTAATCGTTTGTGAAAGTTTGTTGATTTTTTTTAAAAATAGAAAATATTGATATTTTTATGATATTGGTTCGAAAATAATAGATATTAAATAAAAACCAATAAAATATCGGTATCAGATCAAATTGATGAAAAATTTATGGATCGACAGGCCCCTAATATTTCCTCACGTTTAAGCACTGCTTATATTTTAACACCATTGAAATATAAATGTATTTTATTAATAATCCTTAACTTATTTTTTAGTTCTTTAAAAAATTGTAGTGTACATGACGGTAGGAGGGGGGGGGTTATGAACCATTTGGCTTAAGTTAGTAATGAAATCTTTCAAATCGGCTCGAGCCCCATCTAAAATTTATTTTTTTAAACACTGAACTGGACCGCGCTATAAAAAATAAAATAGAAAATGATGTTTCTTCATGTTTTATGATAACGACAAAACAATTCGTTTATTTTACTTCCAGAAGGAAGGTTTTATCAATTTAAAAGAAATGAAAGCCGATTTCGTCTGGATATCAATATAAAAAGTATGATGAAAACATTTTCATGGGGAGGGGGGGGGGTCACATTCTCCTTGTCTCGCGTTCGTCTTAACCCGAAGATACTGAGATTATTTTTAAATTGGTAAAATTAAAAAAATACTAAAAAAATTGTTATTATACTGAAATATTTTTTTAAATGGTGGAAATTTCGAATTAAATGCTGGAGAAATAAATAAAAGCCATTTAAAATTATATTAAACTGTTTTTTCCGACTTGCTTTTATTATTACCATATAATTTTAGAAGTCAAGAAACAAGAATTTAATTTCCCTAGAGGAGTCAACTATCTTTACAAAGACGGGCACACTAACGCAGTTCGAAGATTTTTGAAAATCAAAGATTTCCTGAAAAATTGAACTTGATTCATACTTAATTTATACTATTTTAACCTTGTTTACTTTTTTATTTATCTTTTATATAAAAAAAATGAAGATGATTTAGTTAAATTTCTATGAAAATTATGTTTACAGTGATAATGATATAAAAATATTATATATGGATAATTCTTATAATTATTAACACTCAAGCTTTAAAGCTATTTATTGTCATTTTCATAGGATTTATCAATATTCCCGTTTTACTATGGCTGTTTGAAGTTAGGCTCTATAAGAGATCACGTCATTTTTATTAAAGAACGCATTGAGGGTAGTTTTAAATGTTCTATAAATTAGCAAAGGGTTGTTATGGTCTAAAAGGTTATTATATTACCCATTATTATAATATTCCCCCATTGATGATTTTTGGATGAATTTTAAATTACAATAAAATTTAATTTGAAAGAATTATTTTTATTTATTAAAACTTTGTAAGAAAATTAAATAAAATATTTCATAATTTTTGTCCTATTTTTTTTATGATTTGCAATTTATGTTGATCATTATTTTATTATTTGCTTGCATCCCTTTTCGCACTAATAACAGCTTTTATTCTGTTACGCATTGAATTTATGACAACTCCACAGAATTCGACTATTAATAAGATTCCATATTATATCGTAGTAATAGGGCGTATCTCTTTCAATGATATTCCTTAAGTTTTAATTAGGTTTAATCTTTTTATTAGATCCATTTTTAGTCCAATTCTCTAAAAAAAATTTATCACATTAAATATATTTACTTAAATATATAACATATTATAAATGACATGTCGAGATATATTCTTTCTTTCTAGTAAATGGTGCCTCCTTGTTAAAAGATGCATGTTTTACCGGAAAGTAAGAGACAAATCATTTAGTTATAATGCTGATCAAGTATCTTTTGATTAAAGGCGTTAATAGTACATTTGTCAAAACCTTCAACACCCCTTGGATCCATTAATCGCATATCTTTGGGCTTTCTGAATAATATCCCTAGTAACATGAAAGGCCTAATTTTTGGTCCGGTTTACACGATTTCTAACATTACCATATTTTATTTTAAAACTTATCAGAAAGATTACGGTTCTATCATTATGGCTCATCGGATCTCATTACAGTATTTATAATTTATTTAAGTTTAATATAAATGTCTAATCAAAGCTTAATAGAGTTTGAATCAGATATAGAAGTTTTAAAATGGAGCTAAAATATACACACAACCACTTGCATTATTTATTTTTCACCTTATCACTCAAGGGTTGAATTCTAAATAAAATATTTATATAAAGTCTAACTTTCGCTGGAATTTTGCGAAGATTATATATCCTTAATATGTTTAAAAAATGCCAAACTATTTAATCTGATCTTAACATTTATAATTTAGAAAAAGACCGTTTATTAACAAAAACGGCATATGTGAATGAAAAAAATCAAAATATAATTACACACGGAAAGTGCTTTTAGGATGATTTTTCGTTTAAAACTTTCTAAATTTAATCATAATGAAGAATATCACATAATAATTTATTAAAAGTTTTCTAAACAACGTTTTTTAACTGACATTTCAATATTTTAACCAGGGATGTGAACCCAGACCTTGAACCCTCATATTTTGGTTGTACCCGAACACTGACCTAGACCCTTTTTAAAAGTGGAGGGTTCTAGGTGTCAAAAATTTTTATAAAAATATTTTTTTTAGGAATTCAATTTTATTAAATTTAAATATATATTAAAAAAACAAATAAGCATATATTAAAAATAAATTTAAAAAAACATATATGTATAAATCTATAACATAAAAAAGAACTGAGAAGAAAAAAAATTATTTAAAAAAAAGGTACATATCACCCTAGAGATGAGTGAATGCTTAAAAAATAGGACCGGCAGATTTCCGAAAATCTGCTGAAGAAGGTAAAATCCTTCATTGGGGTACCATGAGATCTATCTTATTTCTTTTCCTATGGTTTTAATGAAATTGAGAGCAAAAAATATATATTTTATTAACTTTTTTTGTGTAATCATTTATTATCTTCGAGTTTTTCTTTCAATTTTCTTCCTGAAGTTCCATTTTTATTTAGAAATTGATATAAATTTTTTTATAGTGTAGGTAATAATATTTTATTATGTAAATTTATTAATATGCTAATATTGTTTAAGCAGTATCAAAACACATTCCTAGAAATACTTTGATTAATATTTTAATTTAAATGATTATGCACAACACGTTGGTCCTCAATTTGTATGATGCTAGAACGATTATTAAGTTTGAAAGATATCTGTAATGATTTCATTATAGGAACATGTGAAGTCATTTTGTCGGAAGATGATTGGTGGCAAATAAAGGACCCTACTAGTGTATTAGTTCCTTTAAAAATACAATATTAAGATTAATTTGATTTTTATGGCATATGGATTAAGTGCCGATTAGATTAAGAAAGTTTACAGTCCCTTTTATACGAAATATTAGAAAACATGAAAATTCGAGAGCAACAATATTTGCAAAATAGTGTTATATATGCTTCTATATATTTAGGCCTTCGATATTAAGTTTTATTGAGTATTGAGCAAAATAAATGGCTAAAGACCATCTAGATAATAATAATAATGAAGCAACATTGATTATCTTGAAATTTTACTTTTAGATAGAGAAAAAAAAATCAAATTATCATCAGATAGAAAGGAGGATCAAAAAATGCCTATTGCATCTTTAATAGAAATGCTTTTAGAAGTTAAGAGAATAAATAAGGATACAAATATTTTAAAATTCTGGGAAGAAAATTCTTTAATATATTCAGAATTATATATCTTATCTAGAATCTTCATGGATGTACCGGCGACACAGGTACAATAAGATAACTATTTTAGGTAAGGGTAGAACTTGAATTTTCATCTTTGAAATTTATATTGTCTAATTTATGTGGAAATTTCAAGGATGATATTTTAGAAGATATTAAGATTGTGCGAATGAATTAAACCTTTAAAATATAAATTATTTAATTTGTAAATTATGAATATGTATATATTGAAGTATAATAATAAATGAATGAAAAGAAATCTTATTTTGAGTCATTATTTTTATGTTCCCCGAACCCTGGACCCGGGTCCTTTTTAGATTTTAGTCCTGCACCCGGACCTGGACCCTTTTTTTTGTCAAAGGGTTCACATCCCAGATTTTAACACGATTGGGCACCATGTCATTCTTCGATATAAATGCTAAAAATTGGTTAAACGATATTAATATAAGTCTTAATTTAATTCGTTTTCCTCTAGTCCTGATTTGAAGCCTATTGGAGAAGGGGGGGGGGGTAAGCTTACAACAAAAACCGAACACATAATACCCTCCCTGAGCATGCCATCATTATACTACGACAGATAGTATAATTTTTGATGCTCAAACAATGAAACTAAATGTCCGAGTAACTAAATACAATATGCAAATTTTATAAATTAAGATTACATTTTTTTATATAAGGATATAATTTATACAGCCGATTTGTGTATATTATAATATTTTACAAATATTATGGGGAAATGTATATTAAAACTACATTCATTGCAACCCTATATAATAAGTATAAAACAGTCTTGAAAAATGCGCCCACAAAGCTAGCGACACCACTGATATAGAATATACATTAAAAGTTCTTTTTAACAATTCCATCAATCTTTTGATTTATATTGCTAAAGCATTCCCTTTATTTAGTTCTTTTGTCTCTAGACTTCTTAAATTAGTAGTGCATTATAAATGTCAAAAAAAGTAATGACTCATAATTCAAAATTTTTGGAGGGGCTTCCATAAACTACATATTTGGTTTTATAAATTTTTTATCGATATCTTGCTACTGTGTTTGAAATCATTTGTTCGGTTTTGTTTTTTCTATCTGGGATTTGTTTCTCTGATTTAATCTACATGCTATTGTCATTCACTGAAAGGGATACGAGTACGGTTAATACTTTCTCTTTTAAATATTAATTTTCTACCGATATTGAATGAACTGATATAGTTGCCAGCACCTGCCCTGAAGTTTGGGTATAACTTTATTCTAAACTAATTTTTCTTTTAAAATCAATTTTGCTGAAATATTTGCCATATGATGGTGTTCTGTTCAGTATGCTTGTAAGAACTACTTTAAGAAATTTATTAATTTTACTATATTTTTTTTGAAAGTAATTTTATTCTGTATACTATAATAGTTATTTTGGCTCTCGCCATTACGTTTAGCATATCAATTTCATTCATGTCTAGTCGATTTTATTATCGCCTGCTGCTGATATGAGCATTCAAACATTAAGTTTATCACCTTTGACATTTGTAATTTTAATATTTGTATATCCCATATTGAGAGACTTAATACAATATATCCTGGTATAACGTACTGCCTGGTGATTTTTTTCTCAATTTATATCAGTTTCCTTATATATCTTCCATTCCCGTTGCAAAAATATAGAATCCATTTTATCAACTGCGCATATCAACGCATCAAAATTTACCGCTGTTTTAATAAAATTAAAACGTTATATTACTGTATAGATATAGCCAGTCTATGATTGAATGTTTCGTTTATCCCATAAGATCTAATGATATTTTTAAGATAATTTTATGACCCCCGAATTTGTACATACAACTTGATATCAGCTCGCTTAAATTTTAGGGATTCCCCTCTGTTTTGCTTTTTTGAATTTGAGAAATATGCCATATAATTTAATGTTTTCTAATGTCAACCTTCGAATACTGGGGCTACCAAATACAATTAAGTAGGGATAAATGATGTGCTTAAGAATTAATAATATATAAGCAAGCATGTATAAATCAGAATAGCAATTTATCTCGAAAAGTTTGTACACATTTTTATATGATATCAGTATGGTGACTGGTAATGAAAATAAGAAAGTAATTGTACTTAATATGCTGGCGACCACTGCAAAATTATATAATTTCACCAGTTTATTTTCTTTTACTTGTTCACTATTCGATGAGTTAAATTTCAATCCGGTTTGAAGGGAATTCGATCTTATTTTAAATTTAATGGGCACCTTCTTTGAAGAATTCCGAGTAAATGGACAAAAAAACGGTATATTACACTTATCTTTTTTATACATCAGATACCATGTCTGCAAATTAAAGATCATTATG